CGAACGTCTCTGTCTGTGAACGCGAGGAAGGCAGCAGAGCGTGTGGTGGCTTCATCTTCTTTCTTTACGGAGTAAATATAGCCACTCTCTTTCGCATGTTATCATCTGATGCTGACCCTCCTTCTTTTAGGGGATAATTGGCGAACGTTTCTGTCTGTGAACGCGAGGAAGGCAGCAGAGCGTGTGGTGGCTCGCCTTTTTGGCGAAAGAAGTTCGTTCATGCCTTTTTCTATGAATTTCTGGCTGCGCTAATTGAATTTTCAGTGCCTGATGGCATCCTCATACCTTTTTCCTTTTCTTTTTTTCTTCATCATGCGTTCTCGCAGTGCGAGGGGCGTGGAGAGAACAGGCCCCGGAGCAGATTCAAGTGGTCTGTGCGTGCATCAAGTACATCCCTCTATGGCTAAAACAAGGATGAAACAAGGGAATTATCTATGATCACTCGGAGTCACAATAGAATTTTCTAACATGAATAGAGCTATATTGACTCTAAGTTATAATCTAAAGTCCTGAGAAGCGTTCATCATCTCAGGAGATTGACTATCAAGTTTCAAAAAGGAGTACCAAAGGTCACCACTAGACCTAGCCAGGGAAAGCTCAATTCGATTCACAACATGCTTTTTCAAGATGTATGTTGTCGTTCGTAAGCCACTGGTTCCTTCAAGTGTTGGCAGTCCTTTCCCCAACCAGCACCCCAACATGACTCTGTGCTGATCAATCGTAGTCTGGGAGTGCATCAAACGGGCTGTGCAGATGGCTACCGATGAGACTAGTGACACTTCTAATAGTTGAAGACGACTCAGATTTAAAAAAAAAGTCTTTTCATTGCTCTCGTTCGAGCGACCCTCAGTTGCCAAGGTATAAATGTTTTGAACCAGCAAGCTCTGTAGTTGCCGTCGTTGTGCAGGAATTACCAGAGGAAATGGCCTTGATCAACTCTAGGTCTTCGGTACTTACTTTTAAGGTCTCAGTGTGTACAAGGGGGCTGGTATTTTCGGGCACCATAGCTGTTGAAGTGCCTGATTTCTCCGTTGTCACGAGCATCAAATGGAGAGAGATCTCACCCCGTTGAGGACACTCCCCGGGAGATTTCTGGTTGTAGCTGTGGGGTCAGTTTTCAGTGTAATTCACAACCTGCTCGTTCTAGTGATGGTGATGGTGATGGTCACAGTCGAAGTGACACGAGTAAGACTGGATAATCCTTGTCAGTGCTTGGCCTGCTCTTCTTGGAGCATTGCCAGATCCCCCAGTCCGTCAAAGTGCCGGTCGTGTTGCTCTTGTTCGTGGAAATTTGTTGCTGAAGTGATCATCTCCAGAGCAGTTTGAACTATGGACAGACTGGGAAATGGTTGTTGACGTTCTAGTTTTCCTCAAGGATAAGCCTAAGCACAGCCATTGGAGTTACCGGAGATGTGAGCCACAGCAGGAAGAACCTGCAGAAGGAAGACTGCTACAGCGGCAAGTTGTGTATAAAAGAGGCAAGGTGATTGAACCCAACCGATTAATTTTCCTAAAAATCAGAAAGTGAGAGAACTCATCAAGGAGAGAATGAGATTGCGCTTTTTTTTTGCCTTTTCCCAATAGCCAATTAAGGATAGAAGTGCCTTTGATTTTTCTCAGTATGAAAGCATTGCTACATCAGGTATTTTATATTCATACAAAGATGAGTGATTGGTGTTTCGGGGAATCTCGTCGCTTAGGGCTAATTGTCGCAAAGCCCGATGCCGAAATCTGCCTTGTGGTTGTCTTCTGCGGTCAATTTTGGTCCACTTCATGCGGTTCTACGTATGATTTATCTTATATGCTATTGTCTGAGATGAAGCCAGACACTTGGTATCTATATCAATCAATACCCGTTGTGTTTTTTTTTCATACAGTTCCCCAAACTCGAAGGTCGAGGATGGATCCATAGACTGGGACCGCTCCACGAATCCACGGGACTACAACCACAATAACCAAAAAAATATAGAAGAAGTGAAGCAGGTTAGAAAGATTTTCAAGACTATCCCCGAAGGACGACAAGTTAATCCGCAAACACACTCGTGATGCAAGAAAAGCGCCAGCATAACACCAACCCACGAAAGAGATAAGAGAAGACAGCACAAACTTACAAGACCAGTAACAAGATCAAGTAGATGTTTATGTATGTTGCAAGAAGGGGGAATACTTGTAAAGAGACAACCCGCAAAGCCCGGCCTAAGAACCAAAACTCTATACAAGTCATGACGTGTAAATGCGCTGAAACAAATCCAGAGAGGAGTAAGGGGTGCGTGTGTGTATGAGGTGACGGGGGAGGGTATGAGACGCCAGAAACTAGAATTGATACAAGGTCGAGTGCGAGATATGAGATAAGCAAACGCTCAACGGATCGAGTGTAGAAAAAAAGGGTGGAAAAGATAAGATGGATAGCCCAAGGACTGAGAAATGAACAGAATGTGCCATGTAGAATGTCAAACTCGGGTATCCGATGAACAGACTAAGGTGGCGTCGGAGTTTGTCCGAACTCGACGTGGCCGCGAGGCTTATCGCGGGATCGCATGTACATGGCATCAGAGTACGCATCGGTCGCTGGAGGGCCAATCGCGCGGGGGAGACTTCTGTGCTTTTGTTGCCGTTGGGTCACAACCTCTCGTGCGTAGAATTCTACGAGCATTGTGCCATAAGACTCCAGTTCTTCGACGGTAATGGCCAGTCGGAAGTCGTTCAGAAGGAGGAATTGAAGTTCCAAGTGGTTCAGCTCCACCAGTGGAAGACCGCCAACCTACATATCCAATAATGGATTAGTCGTAATCCACAAGTCAGATATGAGAATCACCTACCTTTGCATAACGTGAATTGGTGTAGAAGACGTCAGAGAAGAATTTGCTCGCACAGGTCACGGCAGCGATGACAAGTCGATGGATATTGAAGCTATCAACGACGAAGAAATGTGAAAGTTCCTCAGCATCCGACTGAGGCGAAAGGCTGGGCGAGATTGTCGACCCTTGCGGGTCCTGCGCAGTAAAGCCGGTTGAGGGGGGTGGGGTCGCCAGATGAGAATCCTGCATCTGGTGGGCTCCTGGGGATTCTGTAGATGTAGATGAAAATCCGGATTCTTCGGCAGAGCCCCTTAGTTGGTGTAGCTGCTCAAGCTGATCACGGTTGACCAGCTCGGTCATACGGTCAAAGTAAACCAACAAGCTTAGAAAGACCTCGTAGGTTGTGGGACAATATTTGTGGATGCGAGTCAAGTAACTCAAAATTGTGATGGTTGGGACATTTTTTCCGTGAAATGCGAGCACGCTGGTAGCCTGTGGGCTGAGGTTGGAGGTGCCCTCGGGTGGCGGGATGTGGCGATGTACATGTTCATGATGCATATCGTTTGTGGTCGTGATCTTGGTCAAAAGCCCAGCGACCATCTCAATGATCTCCGTGACCGGCATGGAGCTAATCTCGTACTGTCTTTGCTGTGGCCCAATTGCGGGGTTGTGTGAGCTCCACGATCCCATCAAGTTCTCATTGGCGAGACTCTGGATATGGGACAAGCTTTGGACGCGAATGCGACTCGGTGAATTGGCTTCGGAGCCTGGCACAGACTGCATAGACTGGTATGTGGGTTGGAGGCGAGGTGAATCCGGCGCTGACGGATCAGAAGAGTATGAGTTGCTCCCGCTCTGGGTTGGTGGGGTAGGTGCTGAGGAGTAAGAGTCCGGAGGAA